TGGCTATTTCAGTAAATGACATTTCCCAGGTTTCATTGACTGTTGGCTTTTGGCCAGGTGTGGGCAGTGAGGAGGATGGCCCAGGAAGAACCAGAGCAAAGACAAGCTGCCTTTGCCCTCTCCTCTCCTTGGCCAGCTATCACTGCCCTGCCCCCTGCTCCTGTCAGAAGCATCCGCTGTGACTTTGGCTTCCATGTGTCAGTACTGGTTCCAAGGCTCTCATCATGCCTGGTATTTCCAGACCAGGGAAATTAGAGATGTCCTCATTAGGCTAATCTCAGCATAGCCTTCTCTGCTCCTAACTGGCATCTCAGCTCTTCCATTATTCAAGTACCAAATTCCCTGTATTAAATCCCCTTTGTGTGAAATATCTAGGCAGGCTTTCTGTTTGCGTGGCTAACCTCTGACTGACACAGGAGATAATCTGCTTCTGATTGGGGCACAGATTGGCCTGAAGAGCAACACAGGGTGAGAGGCGTCAGTCTGTGGGAAAGAAAAAAACTAAAGGCAACCATGAAGTTTAAAAAAAAAAAAAAAAAAAAGGAAATTCCCATGCATACTGAGACTGCACTGAAGACACCACAACCTTCTGACTCCAGTAGTATTGGGGGAGTGCCTAGGAAGGTTCTGTGCCTGCACAAATGTTTTGACCTAAGGAACAGAGGGTCCCCAAACAGTGACAGATCCAGTCCACTTCTTGTTTTCCACTAACTTTGAATCATTTATTTGGAACTCTTGGGAATGACTCACCCACTCAAAACACCAGAATAGTAAGGGGTCTTCTTCCTCCAAATTATATACAAGGAGGAGGCAGTGAATCTTCTCTGTTAAAGTGGTTTGCTCAAGGTCACACAGCTGGTAGAGACAGAAGGGAATTATTCCAGGTCCAAAGCTGGTTTCTTTCTACCATCTGAGCCTCTAGCTCCTCTTCCAAGTCTCAGTTCATTACATGTAGTTTGGTCCTTCAGTAACTACAAGGTTGCGAATAAATCTGAATGGGTTTGCTCCCTGTTAATTTGTAACTTTGAATTGATAACAACGATAATGTTATTCCTTTCAATGTAACCAGTGTGGAAGGATGCTGAAATGGAATAATGTAATGAAGTGACAGGTATTGTACAGTCAACTGAAATATAGGTACACTTTAGATTGGAAAATATATTCTGCTTTGTTAGTTTAAAAAAATTAAAAAATAAAACCTTGAGCCTGTGGTGTTAACGATATTGTCTTGTAATTAGCCGTTATGAAATCTTGTAAATGCATCACTTTTTGACTAAATACTGAGTTTGGGGGTAAAAATAAACATCTCAAGGCAAAGACTTTAGAGACATTATCTGTTTAATAAATATGATTGTAAAAGCAATAAACAAGAGCAATTATACATTACACTACATAGTATTTAACAAAAAAATACATCAAAAAAGTCATTTTAAAATTAGAAGTAGTTCCAATACTATAAGAAAACTTTCATTTTTTTTTTAAATTGGCTTCCTATAAAAATAAGTTGGCAAATGAGGGATTTCAATGCTCAGTTGGAATCCTGGAAAACACAGAACAGCTGCCAAGCACCCCATTCCTCTCAAAGTTGCTGTTTGGAACTTCTGAAAAAAAAGCAAAGCGAACCTCTGCATTTTGGATAGTGGATCCAATTAGGAATAAGGCAAGAGAGAAAATGTTGGTTGGGTAGTTCAGGGTAGAGCATGCACAGTTTGCCTTCTGGGGTTTTAGAAAATGTTGCAGTGTTGTATTTTTAGCTTGCCCTGAATCTCACCTTCCACACACATCCCTCCCCACACTCCTCTGGCCTTAGCCCACCAAACTCCTCATTGTGTTTGCACCTGCTATTAGCGAGTAGGTAGGCACTTGGGTCCCTCCCATTTGTAGGCTAACATCATTGCCTTGTCTTTGGGCTTGAGCTGGAATGGCCTGTTCTGGTGGTTCTCCAACTTGAGCATGCATCATGATCACCTGGATGGCTTGTTGTACTGATTGGTGGGACTACTCCCATCCAGAAACAGACAGCAACACTATTCATCCCCTAGAGTTTCTGACTCAGTAACTCTGGGGTATAGACCCAGAATTTGCATTTCTAACAAGTTACAGGTGATGCTGATACTGCTAGCCTGAGTACCACACTTTGAGAACCTCGAGCCACAGTCATAGGAACAATGAGGTCCCCTCTGAGCAGTACCTTGCCTCACTTATCACCTACAGGTGGGAGGGAGCTTTAAGGAGAGGCACATGAGGACACTGGAGATGCTGAATCTATAGCTGGCCACCTTTGGTCACTCTCCAAAATGCCAAGCATCTCATGTCTGCCTCTATTTTAAATTAGGACTTAGGGTCCCTTCTTCCCTATGTCTTTGCACTCATTTATTTCACTGACAAATAATTTTCACAATACTACTCTAGGCAAGGCACTGTGCTAGATTATGAGTATATACCCCTTTTCACAATTTTCTAATTAAAATGAATTGAACTGCAACTCTGAGGACTCCCTGTGCTGGTGTGAGTGAGCCTCTTTTGGTTTCTAAACACTCGGTCTTCCAGATGAAATTTGGGAGGCTCCAACTGAAGAGAATCAATGAGGATGTTTTCTATGAGATAGGAAGCCTGGCAGATTGGGAATCAATCAAAGTTTTACAAAAAGGTGGCCGCTCCAGGCACAGCCCATTGCCCAGATTCACATGGGGCCTCCTCAACCATAACACCTTTTACACGGTTAACTTCTGGCAGCAACTTTGCTACTCTCGCCCTGCCTAAGCTACATTAGGGCAGGAGTCATTGGGATCTTTAGGATATCCTCATCATCACAGGACCCTGTTATACCCTGTTGGTGGCTTGGGGACTCAGCCAAGAAGGACAGTAGGTTCTCTGGGTGGTTTATCATAATGATTTCTCCCACCCTTCAAATGGGCTTTGTCCAGTTCAAGTACTGAGGGGGCTCCAGGAGTGGATGGACTTTTGTTCCCTTCTCTGGTCCTTCTTTCATGATCACCCTGGGAAAACTGGGGATATCTTCACGCTTTCAGGATTTAAGGACTGTGAGGATTTCTTTTGCTTTGTTGGAGGGCTAACTCCTCCCCTGTATACTGACTTATTTTTCCTTTACTGATACCGTGATACTCAAAAGATGAGAGAGCACACGTGAAATCACCAGGATCACCCTAAGTAATCAAAGTCTCATCCTAATGTAAGATAAGACCTATTTTCTCAGACTTTTTGACATTCTCAAACAGTAAGTCCATTAACCTGCTTCTCCTTCTGGTTAAATCAGTGTTTATTTCACAAGTATTTTTATTCTGTTGTGAGAAAGGAAGTATGTGGTAACAGCAACTATCACAGGAAGACATTACCCTGCAATACAGTCACATGTCCAAAACATTTCTCACAAGAAGCTTCCAGAATCTGAACGCACGAGATGTTTGTTAATGTGCAAGAACACCACTACTCAGTTGTGTACTTTCTTTTCCAAAGAATATGGCCAGGTTTGACTGCTTTGGATATATCAACTCTTTCACATTACATGTTTCCAGGTGGGAAACGGCAAGGATATTTGGAAAAGGCAGGTTCTAGAGGAAGAGACAAAGGGTACATGAAACTGAACCCTGCTGGGCAGGATGCAGCCGGAGCTGTGGGCACAGAAGCTGGCATGCTTGGGAGTGTACAAAACAAACAGAGATCTGAGACTTGCAAGTGGTGGGGTCAGGGTTGGCAGAGCCTAGGCCAGTATTTAGGAGACACCAGGGGTGATGTCCAAAATCTAGCAATGTGTTTGTGAAGAAAAAGTAGGAACAGTTGAAGGATAACTTGGGGATTGAAAGGAAGGGATTCAAAGACATGGACGGATCATGGGTACACAGGGATGGCAAACAAATGGGAAGGCAAGACAGAGGGTAATTACTAGAAAAAAATTCCATCTTCTACTTCAGTTGGGAAGGGAGTAGGGAAAGCGGCAAGGAGAAAAGCTGAACAAGAAACAAAGGTCCGTTTCTGACGTGCTTTGCTTCCCTGCCCCTCTTTTTGTCCTAGTGTATCTGCACACATGATCTTCAACTTGCATCTTTGTCCCTGTGGCCACAGAGAATAGAGAGAAAGCAGCCTTGTGGCCTCTGCTGACCAACAAAGCTACCACCGCTAACTTAGAAGGGGCAAACGACAGTAAGGACAGTGGGACAGAGAAACAGCTCAGGGTTTCCCTGTGCATGTCTTTGTGTCTTATGAAAGGGCCAGGGATGGCTAATCCACCCCTCGGCCAGGAGTGCTAAAATAGCTGTTAAATCTAGAGCCAAGAATATTTCCAAAAATACATGCAGATTTCCTTGGCCTATATATGTTATGAATTTTCTACAAACACGACCGATCAGAAAAAAGAGAAGAAAAGGGGAGGGGAGTGTTTTCCATTAAAATAGAGCACCTGTACACTGCCCCTCCAGACATGTCCTCAAGGTATTGTCCACATGCACAGGCTTAAAGCTAAAAACCCTTGTTGTCTGTGTTAGAAGAATTAAAAGTCCCGGTGCAGTGAGTGTTTGTTTTTGTTTGTTTGGATTTTGACTGTTTTTATTTTTATTTTTTGTTTTGATTTTTTTTTTGTTTTTGTTTTTTTGTTTTTGTTTTTTTACTGGCGTCCTCCATTCAAACATTTACATAGGTAGGGATTTCTTTTGTGCTTTGATTCTCAGCAACTATGGAAATACTTCCTGGCAAAAATAGGAAACAGAACAACAGAGGAAAGAAAAGAAACATAAAGTTAGTGGTCATGAAGGATGATGCGCTGGACAAGAGCGAAATTCTTTCCTGATCAGCAGGTCGCCTGTAGCCTTTGGGGTTTTTCCTTAAATTGCAAATTGTGCCCCAGCAGATCCCCGCTTTGGCGTTGAAGGTGGAGTGGCGTGTCTTGCTCTTTGCAATCGGAGAGATGAGTCACCAGGTTGAGTAGAAGGGGAGGGAGGGGAGGGTAAAGCTACTCTCCTAAGAGAAAACGTGTAACACTTACTCATTTAATGACACTGGAAATGGAAAAGTGTCAGAGAATTTGCAATGTGGTGTGAGATGTTCCTGGAGAAGGAGGAATTGCTACTTTAATAAAGTAAGCAGCCATTGTGCTCCATATATCTTGTGGAAATGATACTGAGAACCAAATGACCCCCAAAATGCAGCATCTTAGAGACGCTTTGTAAGTAAACAGACAGGGCGGGGTGGGGGGGTATGAATTTATTAGCTTATGTCCCCCGTAAAAGAAAATGCATGGTGAAAACCGGATACAAGATGTGGCTGCAAGTGTTATTACTACCTACAATAGGAGCCAGTCATTGTATTTAAATTCCCCCTGAATGTCTCCACAGACCTGTCCCATATCCATGTAATGAAGTGACAGGTATTGTACAGTCAACTGAAAAGAGCATGTAAAGAGATTCTGTTTACATGCTCATTTTTCCCCTAAAATAAAAGATTTAAAATCTTATGTAAAAGCCTTCTAGACAGTTTGACGTTATGACATTAGAGTGAAGTGCGAACACTTATGTAATAATTTATTCTTCGAGGTCAGTAATGCAGGATCTAGATGTGAACATTTACAGCTTCAACTCCTGAGGCCCACAGACAGGAGGAACCCGGGAAAGAAATGGATCAGCAATGGTGGCTCCATGGATTTGTCTAACTTCCTGGAAACTTTCTTCTGCAATAAATAGTAGGACTCAGCAACTGAGCTTCAGACATGCTATACCTAGCTGCTTATCTCCCATGCTTACTTCACAGGTGGAGAGAGGTTACTGAAATGTGAAGTCCATTTTAAGGTATCTGGTATGGGACAGTTAAAAAAAAGCGGGGGGGGGGGAGGGGCGGCATTTGTTGATCTTCTCTGTGATAATCTAATCCTGTAACTGGGCTCTCTTAGGATCCTCACTCCCAAACTTTGTCTCTCTTGTTCTCAAGTTCTCAGGAACCAGTTTCTAGATAATTGCTACATTAAAAAAAAATCTCTGGATGGTCACACTTGTCACTCTTATTATGTCCCTTCTTTGGTGGTGGTCTTTGCCCTTCACAGGGTTGTCTAGAGTTCGGCTGCCATGTTTTGCTCTGGTCCACTACACCTCAACCCCAACCCCTTGCCAGCCCTCCAGTCCACCATCCCCAGCCTCTGAGGCCTCTCCTTCTTGTATATTGCTCATAAACATTTGAAGCCCAGTGTTTTAGGGAGGGTTTTTGCAAAGGCGGAATTAATTAATGAGAGAGGAAAAAAACTAAATAGAAGCAAGAAAGAGGCATCTTAGCTGTTTCTCTCAGGGGTGTTAGAACAGAAGGAAGTGGTTATGTGAAGCCAGAGAGCAGTTAGAGGGAGAGTCAGCCATTGGTTACAGAGGCTGAACAACTGATGGCTACTGGGAATCATTTACCTACGAGCTGTGATTCCACCTTCTCATCTCTAAGCTGGCCAGGCCTTCTTAGTTCAGTCTGAGGGATATTGGGCCTGTTTTCAGTGTGACTGACTGGACTGATCATCTCTTGTTCTTTTTCATTCTGCATCTGGGCATAAACATTAATCCCCGGGATCTTCCTAAAACATTAACAGAAACCATCACTGTTGTGCAAGGGAGAAGCACAACACGGCCATGTGTGCTTCGGAACCTGTCAGAAAGAGGGAGGGGGAAGAGGTAGGGGAGAGTGGATGGAGGGACACGCACCTTTTAAACTTGTAGATGACGAACACGGCCAGCCCCACAAACACCACCGAGAGCAGCATCAACATGGCGGATCCACTGTGGGTTGGAGTGAGGTCCACCAGTGGGGCTGGGGGAGGAAACAAGAAATCATCATAAGCAGAGACTCAGGCAGGTAAGACTCTATGAGAGACTCACACAGTTCACACACAGGCTTGGTGAGTCCAAGAAAGCCACATGGGATGAATATACAAAGTACAAAGCACACAGCTGATACATGTATGCACCTGAGCCTGTCCTAGCCCCCATATGCTCCAGTTGGCCTGTCCAAGTACTGGAGCAATGAAGAGCAAAGACCCTGGAGCCAGACTGTAAGGATTCCAGCCATGCTCCACGACCTGCTAGCTATTGAATCTTGGGCAAGTTACTCCATCTTAATGTGTCTCTGTGGTTAGAGGAGATGGATGGTCTATTCTTCTGTGGTCACAAAGATTAAATGAGTTAATGTACCTTATTATTAAGAACTCTATAAGGTTTGCTTTTATTTCTACAGCTGCTACTATTATTATTAATCAATACATGTCCTTCTTGAGTTAATATTGGGGTAATATCCTGATAAACTCATTGATAATACCATTGAAAATACTCACAAGTCAAAATACATTTCATAACTTGAACCTACCAAACATCACAACTTAGCCCAGCCTACCTTAAACTTGCACAAAACACTTACATTAGCTTACAATAGGAAAAAAAAAATCATCTAACACAGATTCACCCCTGAGAGAAACAGCTAAGATGCCTCTTTCTTGCTTCTATTTAATTTATTCCTCTCTCATTAATTAATTACCCCTTTGCAAAAACCCTCCCTAAAACACTGAGCTTCAAATGTTCATGAGCAATATACAAGAAGGAGAGGCCTCAGAGGCTAGGGATGGTGGACTGGAGGGTTGGCAAGAGTTTGGGGAATAAGGTGTAGTGGACCAGATCAAAACATTCAACTATAGACAACCCTGTGGAGGGCAAATCTGTGTTAGACGATTTTATATAACTTACTAAATACTGTACTGAAAGTAAAAAACTGAACACTGGTATGGGTAAACCTCTTAAGCCCAACCGTTTTAAGTCAGGGACCATGCATATTTATAATAATATAATGCTAATTGTTATTAAATTTTCTCATATTCTACATGCAAGCTTTTCCCACTAAGCAAAGCAGATAACCAGTAAAACCACCAATGGGAATATTTTTTTTGTAAATTACCCAGTCTCTTTTGCACCTATTCTAGCAGTTGTAAGGAACAGAACCAGAAAGTGGTGATGCATGTTATATTTTTGTGCACTACAGGGTGTGGATGGCTAAGTGAATATTTTTCAAGGGCTGTCATTCTGATGCTGGGGAAGGTGTGACATCCAGAGGGCTCCATGACTTCGTGAAGTCCTGACAACAAGCCCCTGTCCTTCAAATGCAGTGATTTCTCCCCCCAGACAAAATATAGCTTCTGCGAGCACCAGTCTTCCCAAGTTTTCCCTGAGAACGCATGCACGCAGTATTGGAAAGCATCTCTCCTGACCTCCAAATCTTCTTCCACCTCAGGGTCAAACCTGTTGTACTTGTAATGACTTTGTTTGCAATTAATTTCTACCCTCTCAAGAACTGACATTCTGCAAATCTGGCACAGCTCCAGCCTAAGCAACAATCCACATGAACCTCGTGGAAGCCAGCATGCTGACCTTTACCTTCCATCAATTTAAGCAGAATCTGATGCCCAGAAATACAGGTGACCTTTAAGCACCATTTTCTGTGGCTTGTTTCTGTTGAGAGCCAAGAGGTCAACATTCTGGTCATCAAGGTAAAAACGTTCAAGAATAAGTGACTGCAATATTAATGGTCTCAGAACAGACCTTCGGCTGCTTCTGTTCTGTCTGGTTTTCATAAGATTACATCCCTGTCACTCAGTGGCCACCACTAGAAAGTATATTTCATGTCACCACCCAGTTCAGTGTAAAACGCAAGCCAAGCCTTCTTCTTTCTCTTAGTGAGTTTAGTAGAATTGGCTCACTGAATATAAGGAAGCTCCCTGCTCTTTTCTCTCCCTGTAAGTCAAGCAGCACTTAATTAAGCTGTGAAATAGCTGTGTCGGCGTGTGTGAGAAGATGGGTGCAGCCCTATTCTTGTGGAACACCCAAGGAAAATTTGCTTTCCATTTGAAATAAGAAAATAAAGCCTCAGTGCCATCAGCCAAGCCCAGGAACACTTCAGAATTAGCACTACGGTTGGTGGGATATCATCAGGCAGGAGAACACCTTCCATTTATCATGGACATCATCTCCATAGATTTTCACAAATGAAATGGGGACAATGATCCTTATTATGCAGATAAGAACAGAGAAGTTCTCCTTGGTTCCTGTCACTCCAAAGACTTGGAACTAATAAACGGAAGCACACATACTTGAATCCAAGTCATCACAGATACACGTACACACATGCTATATACTCAGGCTGGTGGGAGATAATTAGAAATTTAAAAAGATATTTCTGAATATGGGCATTGGGACTAACACTATATAGTACAGGAATAAATAACAAGTGACAAGCTAAAATTTTGTTTTAAAAGGAACTGTTAGAATCCTAGATCATACACTTTTAAACGTAGATGGCATGTATACATATGCGTTAATGTTTATGGATGTGTGTGTGTGCGTGTGTGTGTATGTAGAGAGAGAGAGAGAGAATAGAGAAATTAATCCTCATGTACTCATCATTTAAGTCTCAATAGCCATCAACTGACAGCCAATCTTATTTTCTCTTCACTACCATCTAATCCCCACAGTTTCAACCACTGGATTATTTTGAAGCAGCTTCTATCATACAATTTCATCATCTGCAAATCTAAAAGATAAAAATCTCTCTCCTCTCTCCTCATCAGGAAACCATCATCATATTGAAAACTAGATATTTTAAGGTAATCTCCTAAGGCAAACCCTTCATCTGTCAGGGAATAAATGGAGGTCTAGAGGTGGTTAGAGTCAAGAGTATTTAAACTTCCTACCCTGGAAGTGAGCTCTGTCAGCATAGCTTCTTGGTGCCACCAAGAAGTAGACACAGTTTACTTGAAGGAGTGGCATCTGAAATAAATGAAAAACTAAGAGGAAATTCCTTGGCTAGGTCCTCACTAACACATATGAAAGCAAACTTACATATGCACCTATGCACATGCACGCATGCATGCGCGCACACACACACACTAGAACTTTACCGCCCATCTTTGCCTTCCTCCTCCCATCTCTCTTCCCATCACAAGGTTAAATCTTTTAATCCTAAACCATTCACACTCAAATTGTGGTTCTTAAGGAAACAGTGTTAACACTGTTAGGCAATTAGCACATTTGTGTGGGAAAAGCAGCTTTTGTTCGCCCCCCCTCCCCAGTTTCAAAACTCATGCTATCCCCTCCCTCTCCACACTTAGTCACTTCTCAGAGGCAGCAAGTGGGACACAGCAGACAGCAGTGGAGAGAGATCGAGTGCCACTGCCCTCTGTGTTCCGTGGGTGGCTTCTGCTTGTTGATGTGTGCCTGGATATAAACGGTTTTTTACTGCTCCACACAACAGCGGCTGCATATCTTAGTTTGCCCAATACTTAGGTGCGTTTCTGTGTGTTTTGCTGAGGAATGGAAAGTGGTGATAAATGGGCTTTGGCTTGTTGTGTGGAATTAGCATAAATTAATCCCTCTTCAATTGTAGCCTAAACAAAGTAGATGTGCAGGAGGAAAGTGCTGAGCAGTTTTTTCCCCCCATTATAAGTACACAGAGCAAAACACAGATACAAGCAGTGCTCCAAGTGACTCAACATTTCTAAGCCCCAAAGCTGGCATACACCATTTGAAAAATCCTATGAGGATCTTAGCAATGCTTTGAATGATCATATTCTATTTATAAGGATCTGAGTTGATTATCCTAATAGGGATGCTCACATTAATAAACACATCTTCTTGTGAAAAATGATTGACATATATATAGTCACAGTTGCACATCTGAGAGTAAATTTGAAACTCCCTATTTGGGGTTAAGTAACTGATAGGGTCCCATTTGGGAATCAGATCCTGGTTTTGCTACTTACAGGCTAAGGGACTTCAAATGACACTCAGTTTCCTCATTTGCAGAATAGAGATAAAAATCATGTTTGGTGTAGTAGGTTGTAAGAATGAAATGTGATGGGATTTACAAAGCACTATCACAGCTTCTGGCACATAGTACATGCCTAATATTTTTACCCTGTCATTATTACTGTCACATGTCTGAAAGCATATTCTGTAGAAAAATAGTGCTGAAGAGTTCCATGGTGAAGTAATTTTGGAAAATGGCAAACCCCCTTCTGAAGATTTATGATGCACATTAGGATATCAGAGGTCTGCAGGCCTGCAGGAAAGGAACTCCTTTACCTTTAGTATAGTTTTCCACCAATTCATCAGACCAGTGTCCCACAAAGCACTTGCCTCACCCTGAGAACCACTGTCCCTTGTACTGCAGCTTTGCCCCTTTCCTTACTTGATTTTCAAGTTCTGAAATCAATGGTAGCATAACCCAGTGAAGCCAGGCAAAATCCAGGGTGGCTACCTTGTGTTCCCTCTTCTTCTATTAAAGGCATCATCTTGGAGAACTTCTACCTGCACTATGATCCGGAAATTCTCAGCTCCTACTATATATCTCTAACCCAAGAACTGGTGCTGTCAAGAAGTTACAGAAGCATGAGAGTTCACCTTACCTTGGTTTTCTTTTACCCTCTCCCACCTCCCAAAGCACACCCAAGTCCAACTTGTAGAACTGCAATATGAAAATCCATGTGATCTGGAACTTTTGGGGAGAAATTAAGGTGGTGTTGTAATAGCACAGAGAAAGTTTTCCTAGGGTGTAAAATGGGCATAAAAACTCATGCTCACTTGGCCAGTGGACTTCTCTCCAGTTCAAATTCAAACCCAACTGTGATGGTCTTAATGACTGCTATACCATATTGTGATAAAGCTGTGGGACAACAGGACAGAGTAGATGGGAGTTGCCAGGGAAGTTTGGCTAAGTAAGTAACGGAGTCTGGTAGACTGAGGCAGCTCTAGCACCCTAGGTTCTTCTGA